CACACACACACGCACACTCTTCTCGCCCCCCCCCCAGGGCCCTGAACAAGTGCAGCGCGGAGGTCTACAAGAAAGTGGGGATGCTCTACCCGGAGATGAGCGTGCACGAGCGGTCGCTGGACTTCCTGATCGAGCTGCTGCACAAGGACCAGCTGGACGAGACGGTCAACGTGGAGCCCCTGACCAAGGCCATCAAGTACTACCAGGTGAGGCCGCCGGGGGCGTGGACAAGGGTTCTCCCCCACTGCCCGTGACCGCTTCTCCTCTCCCGGAGGTGCAGGCGACCACGGCGCCCCCCCTGATGCCTCTCGGCTCCTTGCTGGGCTTCACCGCCCACCCGCCTGCCTGTCCCCACCCCCCCGGCCGCAAGGGCCAAAGCCGGCCGGGTGCTAGGCCATAGCAATGCGTGTGTCCCCCACACACACACACACACGCGGTGCTCTCTGGGCTGCTGTGGAGCCCCGTCCAGCTGTGCTCCTCCTCCTTTTCTTTCTCCCTCCCAGCACCTGTACAGCATCCACCTGGCTGACCAGGCTGAGGACTGCACCATGCAGCTGGCCGACCACATCAAGGTGAGGAGCGGCCCCGCCCCCTCCTGGGCCCCATCAGGTCATTGGCCCCTCTGGGCCTGGCTCTGGCTTCCCATTGGCGAGGAGGGAAGAGGAGAGAGCCGGGGCCGAGCGAGGGCCGAGCGAGGCCTTGTGGGGGGCCTGGAGCCCGTTCTCCGCCCAGCTGACGGTGCCTCTGCTTCTCCACAGTTCACCCAAAGTGCTTTGGACTGCATGAGCGTGGAGGTGGGGCGGCTGCGGTCCTTCCTGCAGGTAGGACCAGGCAGGGGGGGCGAGTGGGCGGGCCGAGGGGCGAACGAGGGCTTGTCTCCCTCGGGGAGGTCCAGCCCCGGGACTGGCCCCCTTTCCCCTCCCCACTTGCAGACCGGGCAAGAAGCCTCCGACTGGGCCATCCTCCTGAAGGACCTGGAGACCTCCTGCAGCGACATCCGCCAGTTCTGCAAGAAGATCAGGCGTCGCATGCCTGGCACCGACGCCCCTGGCATTCCCGCGGCCCTCGGCTTTGGGCAGCAGGTGAGCGGTCGGACCCCCTGCGTGTGTGGCTCAGCAGGCCCCCAGCGCAGCACCCCAGCGGCCTGTGAGGTCGCAGAATCACACAGAGTGGGGAGGGGCCATCCAGGCCATCTAGTCCAGCCCCCTTGCCCAAGGCAGGATCGGCATCCCTGACAAGAAGGGTTTGTCCAGAGGCTGCTTGAGGACTGCCAGGGAGGGTGGGGGAGCTCACCCACCTCCCCAGGCAGCTGATTCCACCGCTGAACTAATCTGACTGTCAGAAAGGTTTTCCTAAGATCCAGCCGGTACCTTCCCATCCTTAACTTAAACCCATTATCGCAAGTCCTGTCCTCTGCTGCCCACAGGAACAGCTCCCTGCCCTCCTCCTTTGAGTGACAGCCCTTCAGATACTTCAAGAGAGCCATCCTGTCCCCCCTCATCCTCCTCTTCTCCAGACTGAACCTTCCCCAGTCCCCCCTCAGCCTTTCCTTGCAGGACTTGGTCTCCAGGCCCCCGATCATCCACATCTCTCTCCTCTGCACCCGCTCCATTTTGTCCAGATTCTTTTTGAAGGGAGGCCTCCAGAACTTCACACAATACTCCAGGTGCGGCCTGACCAATGCAGTGCACAGCGGGACTCTGACAACTTGCGATTTGGATGTTATGCCTCTGTTGATACAACCCAAGATCGCATTAGCCTGTTTTGTCGCCGCATCACACTGGCTGCTCATATTTAGCTTATGGTCCACCCGTACCACAAGATCTTGTTCACACACACACTGCTACCCAGAAGTGTATCCCCCCATCCAGTACGCGTGTTCCTCATTTTTCTTACCCAGATGTAGACCTCGGCACTTATCCTTGTTCAATTGCATCTTGTTCACATCCACCCACTTTCCCAGCGTGTTCAGATCTCATTGAATCCTCTCTCTGTCGTCTGGTGTGTTCGCTGCTCCTCCCAATTTGGTGTCATCTGCAAATTTAATGAGTGGCTCCTCCACACACCCTCATGCAGATCACTGGTAAAAGTGTTGAAAAGTACTGGGCCCAGAACCGAGCCTTGTGGCACCCCGCTGGACACCTCCCTCCATCCAGATGAAATGCCAGTGGCAACTCCTCTCTGAGCGCGGTTCTCCAACCAGTTCCCCACCCGCCTCACTGTCCCAGAGTCCAGTCCACAGTCCTCTGGTTTACCCGTCAGAACATCCTGGGGAACCCTGTCAAAAGCTGTACTGAAATCCAGGTAAACAACACCAACCGCATTCCCTCGATCCAGTCAGCTCATCACTCGATCAAAGAAGGAAAGGAAGTTGGTCTGGCAGGACCTGTTGGAGACAAATCCGTGCTGACTTCCCCGGATCACCAAGTTGTCCTTCAGATGCTTGCAGACTGATCCCTTTAAAGTCCGCTCCAGTCTCTTCCCTGGGACGGAGGTCAGACAGAGTGGCCTCTCTTTTCCTGGGTCACCCCTCCTCCCTTTTTTGAAAGCTGGGATAACATCTGCCCTCCTCCAGTCTTGTGGCACGTCCCCCGTCCTCCGAGAGGTCTGGAAGAGGATGGACAAAGGCTCTGCCGGCTCTCTAGAAAGTTCTTTGAGCCCTCTGGCCCCCGGGGGATTTGTACTCATCCAATGCAGCCGGGTGCTTCTCAGCTACCTCTCTGTCCCTGTCAACCGGCAGCTCAGATGCCGTGCCTTGCCTACTTCCATCTCTAGATGAGCGTGTTCGATTCTTCAGGGGGAAAACTGGGGCAAAATAGGCACTGAGCCTTTCTGCTTCCTCTCTGTCCTCTGTCAGAGTTTCTCCATTTTCACCCCACAGTGAGCCCACCGCCTCATTTGCTCCTCACATAGCGGAAGAAGAACTTCTTGCTGTCGTGAGAGCCTCTCTGGCCAGCTTGAGCTCACTGTGAGCTTTGGCCTCTCTGGTGGCTGACCGACAGCGCCTGGCCACCCCCAGAGACTCCCGGCCTCCATGTCTTGAGCAGTTCCTTTTCCTCCCTTCACACATCACGCAGTTCTCTGTTCATCCACGCTGGCTTCTTGGATCCCCTGCCATGCACCTTTCTTGTTGGAATAGCGAGGGCTTGCGCTTGCAAGAGCTCTTGTTTCAGGAGAGCCCGCCCTTCACTGGCTCCTTTCCCTTCCAGCCGTCTGGCCCATGGAATGATTCTCATCATGCCCCTGAGTTTATTAAAGTCTGCCATGAACTCTGACATACTCGTGTGGGTGTGGCTATGAACTTCCTTGGTCCCCCACAGCAAGAGGAATTCTAGCAGGACACGGCTGCTTCCCCCTGATGCCCCCACCACCTTCACCCCATCTGCCATCTCTTGCCTGTGGGTCACTATTAAGTTGAGTATGGCCGAGCCCCTCGTAGCCTCCTCCGCCATTGTCAGCCAGACAGGTCAGGAAGGTGTGTGATCGTGGGCGCTTTGCAGAGTTTGTCTCCCAGCACACATCAGGGAAGCTGAAGTCACCCATAACTGCCAGGTCATGTTGTTTGGATACCCTGTCAAGCTGTCCAAGGAGGGCAGCCTCCACCTCTTCATCCTGATCAGGAGGTCTGTAGCAGACCCCAACCACAATACTGCTTGTCCTTCCTTCCCTTGTCCTCTCACCCAGGTACTTTCCACTGGGCTGTCGCCCTCCCCCTCCAGTATTTCTTGACAGACAAACCCCCTCCTCACATACAGCCCCACTCCGCCTCCTCTTCGACATTTTTGGTTTTTCTTGAACAACTCGTATCCGTCCAGTACTACATTCCAGTCCTGGGAATCACCCCACCAAGTCTCCGCCATGCCAACTAAATCATAGCCCTCCGCCTGCATTAGAAGCTCAAGCTCCTCCTCCTTATTGCCCAGGCTTTGAGCATCAGTGCTCAGACACCTGAAGCCCCGCACCTTTGGCTCCATTAGGCCCGCCCCTCCCAGGGGGGGCGCTGTTGTTTGCTCCCCTTCATTTAAATACCTGTGTTGGTCGTCTCCTTCCCCTCGTGGTGTCAGTTTAAAGCCCTCTTGATGAATCCCTCCAGGTTTCCGCCAAACATGTCCTTCCCCGACCTTGACAGCTGAAGTCTGTTGTGTGCTACTAGGTTGTCATCCAGGAAACCTCGCCCGTGGCCCCCGAATCCAAATGGTTCCTGCCGGCACCACCAACGCAGCCAGTGGTTCGCCTCCATTATTGTCTGCTCCCACCAGGAAGGATTGGCGAGAACACCGCCTGTGCCCCCGTTCCCTTCAGCTTCCTCCCGAGAGCTTCGTAGTCAGCCCTCATGCCTTCGATGTTGTTCATGGCCAGGTCGTTGGTTCCCACATGGACCATCATGGATGGGTAGTGCTCCGGGGGTTTGATGAGTTTAGGGATCCTGCCTGTAATATCTTTAATTTTTGCCCCTGGCAAGCAACACAGGGGGTCAGGCCTGGACACGTGACGTTCCACACCCCTCGGCAGGGAGTCACCTATGACCAACACCTTCCTTTTCCTTCCCGTGCCACTTCTTTGTCTCTCCCTCTGTCTCCCTTGTGTGTGTGATACTTCCGCTGGCAGTGTTTCCCTCTCTGCCTCCACCGCAAGGGCCTGGGATCGATTCCTCCGTTCTCGTGGCCCAGAGGTGCCGCCTCGCTCGATGCCCTTGGGGTCGTGCTGTGGTGCTCTGAGGAGCCTTGCCAGGGCAGTCCCCCACGCTGCTGTCCCTTTGGCCTCTCCTTCCCTGTGCAGGACGCACTCCTCCCCTTCCTTGGTCTCACGGAGAGTGGCAGCCCTTCCCTCCCGGCCCCGAACCTTCTCCTCCGAGAGTCCCGCCCACTTGCACTTCTGAGAAGTGTGGTCCGTCTTGTCCTCGGGGAGGGAGACAGACATGGCGCACTCCCCGCAGCGGCCCGGACATGGAGTGGCCTGGCATGTGCCGCCACGCATTGACCCTTCTTTGTCGCGCTTCCCTCCCCAGGTCTCAGACACACTGCTGGACTGCCGCAAGCACCTGACGTGGGTGGTGGCCGTGCTGCAGGAGGTGGCCGCGGCCGGGGCCCAGCTGATTGCGCCCCTGACGGAGAACGAGGGCCTCCAGGCCGTGAAGCTGGAAGACCTGGCGTTCAAGGCCAGCGAGCAGGAGAGGAGCCGCCCTCCCCCCCACCCCCCAGGG